AGCTATTGTGTGGGGTTTTTAATGTTGCAAGAATTTATATTGGGAAAAAAGTGCCTTTTTTTTTTCCCCTCAATGCCTTGGGAAATGTCATCCAGCAGGAATGTTCCCAAGAGCTGATCATGGCGGAGAGGAGGATGGGCTCGAGCAGGGACTGCATGCCCAGCTCCCATTCCTGTCCCCAGCCTCCCAGGACCAGCTCCTTAAGCTGTTGCTCCCATGGGTGCCCCATCCCTGCTGCCCAGACTCTGCCCCGTGCTCCTGGGGGACCTCTGTAGCAGCAACAGCAGAGGTAGGAGGGAGGAAGCAGATGCCTGGAGAGGGACAAGCTGCTCACAGAGCCACTCCTGCTGCAGAGGCTCTTAGTTTCATGTCCTCTTGGCTGTGCCAGTGGCCTCTTCCACTTCCAGCTCTGGATGGAGTTTACAAGAAACGCTGGAAGTCCCAGCCCTGTGGTGTGTCATCATTCAAACTTCTCTTTAATAGTGTCCCAAAGTAATTTATTTTTCCCAAACATCAAAGCCCCTCGAGCAATCTGGGAGAGGCAGGGCTTCCCCCCAAGCCCTGGCAGCTCCCACACACCCCTGCCCTGCTCGTGGGGACTGGACACCCTCCTTGGCTGTCCTGGGGCGAGCGATGGTCTCAGGTGGGACTGTGGAGAAAGGGGGGCAGAGCTGTGACACCGCACGCAGGATGAGAAGGCAGATCTTCCCCCTGAAAACACAAGGGGGATGTATATTGATTGCTCTGCTGTGAGGGTGCTGATGCCTTTTCTGGGCTCAGCATCACATCACAGACCAATTCCACAAAACTCAGGAGAGGTACAAAGGGAAAAAGAATAATGAGGAGAAAGAAACAGCAAGGAGATGTGAGTCTGCATCTCCTTCTCTTTTGCTGTGATCCTGGGCTGACCCCCACCCTCCAGCATGCCAGAAAATGCTGGGGATGCAGGCAGAGCATCTCCTCAGTGGGAACCTCATGCCCAGGGTGTCCCCCCTGTCCCCCCAGCACTGCTCTTCTCCCCCGCCGCAGGAGTTTTGTAGAGGGAATTTGACAGAAACATTGCAGCAGCCTCTAAAAACACAGTGTGCTGCTGTCCCTGCCAGCACTCCATGCTGGTTTGCCTCAAGGAATCTGTGAGATCCGTCCTGCTGTGATCTGTAACAATATTGGGATTAAATTAGCTTCCCTGAGCTGCAGAGGGGTCAGTGTGTAAGGCCCCTGGTTAATCCAGCAGGCCAGAGAGAACAGAAGCCTCCCTGCATTGGGAAAGGAAAACAACAGGGTCTGTTTGCAATCCGTGGAGCTAATTCAAACAGCATTCCTCAAACAACAGGGGAAAAGGGCCTTCAGAGCAAATGGGAAAGGAGCGTTTCCCAACATGCGCATAACATCCCTCCTTGGGGAGAGGGGAAACGTCCAGACTGCACGGCTGAGGTGTCAGAAAACCTGGCAGGCACCAAAAAGGGGTCTGAAGAGCTGGGCAGCTGGTGTGGCACATGGGAACTACCCCCTGCTCTGGGCATGGTGAGCCCAGAGCAGGTCAGTCCTAGTGGCCCTCATGAGGAGCACCTGGCTGCTGCCTGCACCACACCCAGCTGGGGTGGAGCACCTCATCCCACCCAGCTCTGTGAGTGATGGGATCTTGCTCTCCTGTCTCCCACAGAGAGCTTTGCACTGGTGTAATTATGGCTCTGCAGCTCGTGGTGCACAGCACCAAACGGGGATGGCAATCCAGGGGCAATCCCAGATGGAGATGCTTCCTGCCCTGGCCGCTGCCAGGCTGCCAGTGCTGCCACCTCCGAGCACAGCCAGCGAGCAGCTCTGGCTGGATGAGAGCCTGGGCTTGCTTGGGAAGCAGAGGCATGCCCGAGTGATCCTATCAGGAAGTCAGCTCCTCTGGCTCCCACTTCTCCTGTGGAAGGCGTGGTCCTGCGTGCCCCTGTGCCCACCTCAGCATGGGCTGTGCAGCCCCTGCAGGAACCCAGTCGTTGTCCTGCAGCCAGAGCGAGTGTCGGTGCAGTGAGTGGGCACTGGGAGAACAGTGTTCCTGGGACTGCAGGCTGCAGGTGTGCAGGTGTTTACAATTTACAATTACAAATAATTGCCCAGGCTATCAGTCATCCTGCAGCAGAGAACCCTCGGAGCAGCAGACCACAGCAGAGCTCTCATCCAGCCTGGGAGCATCTCAGACTCTTCAGGATGTACTTGCTTTCCTTCAGCTTTCTCTGTGAGCACCTTTTCTGCTTTTTGCTTATGCTGAGATATTATCAAAGGCTTATGAGGCACCAGGGATGAGTAATACACCCTCTGTGCCAGCAGGGAACTTGTAGGCACTGGTAGGGTTAACGTGGGTCTGACAGAAGCTGTGGTGCTCAGTGCTGGAGCTGCTGGGTGAGACCTGGGTGCATCCCCAGGCCCACTGACCTCAGCTGCACCCCGGGCTGAAGGACACAGCTCCTGGATGTCCCTGTGGTCCACGGGCAGGATGGGCCTTCCATGGAGAAAACCCCTGTCCCCTTGCTGAGAGAGGCAGAGGGGTACACAGGGCAGGAACTACAGAGGGATGAAATTGGACCAAAAAAATGGCAAGTTTTTAACATAAGGGAGAACAACGTGCTTAAAGGGTGGTCTGGGGGATGTGGGGGAGTTGGTGCTTCCTCTGCAGAAACTGGAAGCAAGGTTGTCCCCTCAGCTTTGTTCAGTGTCACTGTGCCCGAGTCCCAGCTGGAGGAGCCTGGGCTGCTGGGCACCTGCTGTGGGCGTGAAGGAACCCTCCAGTCAGAGCTCTGCTTTCAATCTGGAGTCACTTGGCATCTTAGCCTGCTAAAATGTGGAATTTCATGTCCTTTTGTACAAGAGAGAAACAACCTGTTTAGGATTAATTTAGGATCAGCCTGAACAGCCATTAGTTGAAGAAAACCAACTCAGTAAACAAGCTCCTGTCAGAGGGAGAAGAAATGTGGACTTGATGCTGGATTTACTGTGGAGGCAGGATTTAGTGTGATTTACCATCCCCTGCAATGACACCTCTAGCACCAGGGCACTGTGAGCACGTCCTTTTGCCCTCAGCCAGACCCGCTGCTCTGTTGGCTCATTCCTGCCATGATGGTAGCCCTGCTCCTGTCAGCATTGTCAGGACAGAGCTCTGTCTTCAGGGTTTATTGCTCACTTATAAACATTTGCTCCAGACTGAAACTTGACCTACAGCTGTCAACTGGGGCTACAGTGCTCCAAGATCAGAGAGGAGAAGGTTTAGCTGTTCAACAGCAGCATAAAAAAAGATCTTGGGTTCATCAGATTTTTCATTCTTACAGTCAACAGAGTGATGTTGTCCCAGAGCAACATTTGATCGTACTTGAGAATTCCCTAGAACAGAAAGTAAAAAAGGTCCAAATATAAATAGAAAAAGGTCTTCAATATGGAGACTTGCGGCAGCGACTGCTGAGCATCTGCCAACATTCAGAACACATTCACAATGCTCTTGTGAGATAACAAGGGTCTCAGTGATATCATTTACAAGTGGGAAACGAGGGACATTTAATGAGGTGTCAAGGAAAATTCAGGATGAATAAAACTTCCATGTACATGTGCATTGACACACACACAGTGCAAAGGAAAAAGCTGCAGAAAGGATGAGTTTTCCCTCCCACCTGTTTTGGGTTATTTTGCACTCTTGTGTTCCCACCTGCCCCCACACAAGTGCTGTGCAGAGCAGAGAAGATAGCAGGTGTGTGAGGAATTCAGGAGGCTCTCCAAACCCATGTGGCTGGGGGGCTGCTCGATGCAACATCTTGTACCCATATCCCTGCCCTCCTCTTCCTCAGGGCTGTCAGGTCTCTGCCAAGTCCCATGGAGCATTCCAGGGCTCGTGCCAGGGGCTGTCACGGATGCTTAGGGACTCATCTTCAGTGGGGACTCGTGGGCAGCAGAATGTCAAAGGGGAACTGCCCTGGCCCCAGCAAGGGACCAGGAGGGATTCAGGAGCCACCGTAGGGCCTGTCACAACCTTCAAATGAGCCCATGCCCTATGGCTTCCAGCTTAGAGCTCTGCCAGCCTTGGGAGTCTCCCCCAGGAGACTGCCAGGGTCCATGGGCACGGCACACTGAGGGGCTGGCCATGGGCTTCTCACACAGCTGAGCCCTGGGACCACCTGCTGGGGCACCAGGGCCCTCAGCAGAGCTCCAGGGCCACGGCCACAGCCCTGTAGGAACCAGGGACAAGGGTCAGCCATGCCTGGCACCCACTGCCACTGGCCATGTGGCACCACTGGCCCTTGGGTGGCTGGTGGACACTGATTCTGCATGTGGCTTGTACAGGGCACCGGGTCCAGCACAGTTCCATGCCCACATGTCCTGGGGCACCAGTTCCCATCTGAGCTCCAGCACAGGATCCTGCTCATCCTGCCTGGCACAGGGAGTCTCAGGGAAGGTGCCCAAGCCCTGATGTCCCTTGTGCACCTGAGAGAAGCAGAGTCTGTCCCATAGCCCTCCTGGACACCCCAGTTCAGGCAGAGGAGGAAAGGGGAGCTGATGGCACCGGGAGCAGAACTCCCAGGCTGCTCAGGTGTGCTGGAGGGCAGGTGTCCAGGCAGCCCCACCACAGCCACACTGCTCTCCTGAGCAGGAGCATTTCCTTCTGCTGCGCAGCCAGTGATGGAAAAACAAGCAGGCGGTGCGCTCTTTGACTTCGTGCCTTCCCCCCTCCAGAGGACAATAAGCTGCTTTTAATATCTGACATGTTTATTAACAGATGCAGTTGGGACAGCTGATGACTTCATATGCCACTTACCACTAAAATGTTAGTAATAACTCCGAATTAACTGTCATAAATAAAAAAGACTACAAAGACAACTCGATGGTGTGTCACTCTGCAGTAGTTTGCTGAGACCCCGTTGGCTCTGGATGTGAGGCTAGAAGGTCCTTTGTGGAGCTCCAGTCCGGGTTTTGCAACAGTCACAATATTTTGGCTGGATATTGTCTTAGGAGGTGGTACTAGTGGGGTGGAATTCCCTCATGCAGGAGTTTGCACTGGATGCCTTTACAAAGCTGGATACTCTGGTAATAATAATAATAAAAAGCCCCGACCCCGTGGATGGGGATGGAGTCTACGGATTGAGACCAGGATTTATTAATGTGCAAATTGCTCTGATATGATCACATACTTTCTGCTTTGCATACGCAGGGAGCAGCGTGGGCTGATGGAATAGGAACTAGCCTGAGCGATCTTTACGAGCTGAGATCCTGCACATCGCAGAAGGGTTTGTTTCTCCGCGCAAAAGCTGGGACCCTGTAGAAACCTGCTTTAAAAAACAAGTGACCAAAATACTCAAATGCACCAGACTTCTTCATGAACTCGCCATGAATATATTTTTCATTTTTTTTGGCAGAAACGTGTGTGTAACTTTCTCTGGAGGAACCGAGGATTTTTGTAGTTGGTCTTCTAGTATTTTAAATCTGAGAACCCAGTAGAGTCTTTTCTGCAGTGATGAGGGAGTGACAAGTTGGAGGTAAGGGCTTCAGCATGCATGTTTGTGTCGATGGAGCTTTTGCAATGTGGGCTGCTAATGAGGAACGTGAGCCGTGTCAGCATCCGACTGCGGGTTTGCCTTGTGCAACGTGGATAATGAGCTCAGACAATGAGAGCTGTGCGGAATCACAGCGCGATCTGTGGGATCCACGGCCCCCCGCCCGAGGGGTGCAGGGAATCTGGGCTGCTGCGTGTGCCCCTGCCGCTTCCCGATCTGGGGAAGGGGACACGGAGAACGGGTCTGGATGTTGACCCGCTTGCTGGAGCTCGTTGTTGATCCTGGACTGGCTGCGGGGTCTCGCAAGCCATGGTGCGGCGGGTGGCCGTGCCCTGCTGCCCTCCACTGATCCCAGAGACAGGGAAAACGGGGGGACGGGGCAGTTAAGCACATGCTGTGTTCAGTACTGCTGTGGCTGTGCCTAACCCAGCCTCCTGCCAGGCACCCATGGGGGCACGGCAGGCACCCAGAGAGCGTGGGGTAAGTATGTGCTCCTTGGGGTTTCGGATGCGGGATCAGTGGAGAAATGGTTAACAGGGACCATGGCAATAATTAGACATGGTGTGAACACCCAGTGCTGATGTGCCTGGGAAGTGCTGCTGGACCTGTGGCTGCTGTGGGTCAGTGAGGGTTCCCGTGGCCGGGCTGGGACGTGGGTCCCCAGTGAGGCTGTGGGTCAAGGTGACACCTCCACACTGACAGAGCTGGGGTGCTGTGAGACGTGGGTGTGGGTGACCCTTGGGCTGCTGGAGCGTTTTATAGACTCGAGTGTGTATGCTCCCTTGAACAGCCCTGGGGACAGAGGAAGGGTGTTCAGGTGATTCAGTTAAGGTTTGAAAGGTGCTTTACAGTAAAAGGCATTAAAACGGGGTAATATTGGCAGAATAAAATGCTGCATGACAAGGCAGGCATGGAGCCTCCACTCTCCTGCACCAGGGTCAGCAGGTACCCACCAAAAAATCCTGTCACCTGTCTGTGAACTTGTGGCAGTGCTTACAGTCCTATTTGGGGTGGCCAGGTCTGTGCTGAGATCCCATGGGGACTGGGACTTGCAGTGAAACATCTGCCTGTTAGAATCATTTTGTCTGAAGTCCATCCATGACCCTGGAGCAGGTGAGCTCCTGACTCCATCCTCCTCATCCCCACTGTGGGGCCAGGGCAGCAGAGGCTGGGTGGGAGGATGGTGGCAGCACTGCAGGTCTGGGAATGCCAGCGCTGCGACATGCCTGGAAACCACCCTGGAAAAAGGTCTCGTTTCAGCTGGATCAGCTCCCTGGCCCTCGCGCAGCCGCTGCGAGAGCAGCAGCACCACCCTGAGGGATGCAGCAGGGAGGAGCTGGGGTGAGGAGCACCCGCTCTGGAGGTGCAGGGCAGTGACCCCCTGAGCACAGCCGAAATGAGCTGGCCCTGCCAGTGTGTGCAGGCAAAGCAGAGCTGAGCATGAGCCCCACGTTTCCATTACCTGAGCTAGATGTGAGCTGGCAAAGCTCTGCCTGCACTGCAGGGCCGGGACTGCAGTGAGCAATAGGGCTGGGGGCAGGTCAGCCCCCCTGGCCTGTGGGGACAGCCCTGGAGTGGGCAAAGGGACCATGCAGCTGAGAGAAGTGGCACTGGCAGCAGAGACCATGCCCCAGGGCAGTGTGAGGGCAATCTGTTGTCTTGCCAAGAATGGAAGTGCTCGTCTGCCTAAGACCTGGCAAACACAGGCAGGCTTACAGTTGTATCCACCACCAACCTGCCTCCAGGAGGATCCTCTGGGATTGCAGCTGCCCCACATGCTCGTGGGCAGCAGGGTGAGAGGGGCTGGCTGCAGGATGCCCTTCATTGCAAACCAGGCCTGCAGAGCTCAGAGCTCAGTCCCCCCATCCCAGCAGTGCAGGGTGCTATCGTCCAACAAAAAGGCAGAATTTGGATGTCCTCAGTCCAGGCTGGCAGCAGTGGTTAGTCTGGAGGACACCCTGGCTGCCCGATTGCTCCCTCCCACCAGCCGAGTGCCCCGTCCTGCCCCATGCCCAGGCCTGAGGCTGAGGGTTATTTTTCCCAGTTTGTTTTCCTCTGCTGCTGGAGTTCACACTGCTCCTGGCTCTGCAGGGCTCATGTTTCCCAGGCAGGGATGTCTCATTGGGAGAGCCAGAGCACCAGGAATCCCTGCAGGAAGGTCCACTTGGCAGATGGTTCCTGTGCACATGGCCAAGCAGAAAGTCCCAGGTGGTGCTCAGGGCTTTGCCCTGGGCTTTGGGCTTTGGAGAAGCAGATCAGCACAGGGGCTATGGCTCACCAGGCTCCTTCCAGCCTGCAAATTCGCATTTACAAAGCTGGCATTCAGGGTCTGTGGTGGAAGGAGCCCTAAGCACTTGACTGGACACAATTACATCGAAATAAGAGGGGAATTGGGTATTGAGGTGAGCCTCAGCAACCGTGGCTGTGCTTCCAGGTTTGCATCAGACCCCCATGCTCCCCATCCCTGCAGGGTCTCTGTGAGCAGGGCTGTACCTGATGTGGTGTGTCCATCCCGCACATCCCAGGGCACCTGCTGAGCATGTTCCTGCTCAGTAACGGACCTTTGGGGTTCATGAGGAGCCCTTTTGGGGGAAGAGCAAGGTTTTCAGTGCCCTGGTTTGTGCTGCCCCAAATTGTGTTGTTCTGAGCTTCCTGGTCTGAAATCTGCTTTGGTTCTGCTGTTCTAATGTCTTTTGTTGGCATTTGGGGAGTTATTGATCTGTAGGAGGCTCAAACTCCCCTGAGCTGTACCTAATAGACCCAGGTTTGCTTTTCCCATGACTGTAGCCAGATGCCCAGGCAGTGTCTCAGTTGCATTACAGAGCTGTGTTTGCTGGGACAGCTCCAGTGCAATTCCAGATGCTGCTCTGGTTCTGTGGAGAAGCAGCAGTCGTGGACCCTGCAGCTTGCCTCAGGGCTCTGCCTCCTCCTCCAGAGTGTGCCTCCTCGGCGCTGGCATGAAGGCCCTGGAAATCCCCCTGTAAAACATTTCCTGATGTTTTACAGCGCCGACAGACAAGCACTCCTGGAGGGAGGCCTGTGGCACTATGGATCACAGGGTTACTTGGAGCAGCTACTGTGACAGGCACCGTGCAAGGCAAGC